TAATGCAATAAAGTTTGAAAAGCTATTGTCAAGCTGCCTGGGGCAAAATAATGATGACTAATATTGATGAAGCACTTACTGTGTGCTTGGCGTTTTCTCTCTAAACCTCATTACAACTCTGTGAAAACCTCATTACAACTCTGTCCTATTAATATTCACATTTTATGAATAGGAATCTGAAGCACAGGGAGGTTAGGTGAACTTGCCCAGGATCACATTGCTACTAAGGAGCGGAGCCAGGATTGAACCTGCCTTATGTGGCTCCCGAGCACTCACTTTCAACCACTACATTTTAAGTGCTCAGTATATTTTAGCTGCTGATTGTGGGGTCTTCATATTCAGCATTCCAAGGGACTTCTGGAGTTCGTTCTTTACCCCAAAGGTAAGGATGCTCTGGGAGTGCGGGAAAACTTTTGGGGGCTGCAATGGGAAGGTTTGGAAACTGATGAGGGTAGCACTGAGAACAGAGGCCTGTCCTTATGCAAAAGTCCCTTAGGCCTCTGAGTTCCCTGGTCTATCTCATGAGCTGTAGGTCCAGGCACCTCCGGGAAGAATTCCTTGGAATGGCACTGGGGTGTCAGTTGTCACAGAATCAGTTTCTGCAGTGACCAAAGGAGTCTTACCAGGAGGAAGGGAGCTGAAAGAATGACTCCAGTGACTCTGGGGCCCTCTCCCCTGCTCAGGATCCAGTCTGAGGTGGGGAAAGCATTCCTCATCTGTGAAATTGTTCTTTGTTCCCTCCTTCCCATTGAGTTCCTCTTCTCTACTGCAAGGACTGAGTCCCCAATACTTACTGAGAAAGAACCCCTTAACCAGCCCAGATTCCTGGACATCCTCCAGGAGGATGAGTGATAACAGGATAGGCAGAAGTCCCGAGAGTCCCATTTTAGGGGTACTGGTCTGGCTGGTGCCACCAAAACTAGGACCTGCTGCTCAGCAGCTCCTGCCTCTGAACATTGGCTTCCCCTGTGCAGCCTTACGCTCCAGGAGACAACACTGGAGACAAGCCAGCCACACTCCCTCCTCTTGAGAACACCAAGCCCCTGAGGCCATCAGTGGGACTAGCTGGCACCTACAGCACCAACCCTGGGGGAAGGGGCTCTTGACAGGCAGCTCCTAATCCTCAGAACTCTGAGGCTCGCTGGCTCTCTGATCCACAGGGAGACGGGGCACATCTTGTCTGGGCTTTTCCAGACTCCCTTAGCGGTAGGGAATGTTCAACTCCAGAGTCTTCCATTTCCNATGAGGCCTTGAAGGGGCCAGTGCTCTCTGTTCCCAAGCCCGGGGCACCACTTTAGAGTTATGGAAGTTTGATTTTACTCCATCTGTCCCCAGACGGTAGTGACCGTGAGCAGGATTTTCACAACACTGCCCACACCCCCAGCCCCATAACAACTCACCATCTAGTCCCTAGTCTCACCCCTACCCCCTGCCTCCACCATCTAAAACGTTCCAGGGAGCAGGACAGTCTCTCCTAGGACTATTTTGGTGACTTGGCCCTGCTGTGCTTGGATGTTCCTCTGGGAGGCACAGTAGCTCTTGGTGATTAAGGTCTCCATTTCTGGCCCTGGATGACTGGGCTTTGAATTCTGTGCCACTTTTGGTTTGGCAGGTACTCTCTCTGAACCTTGATTTCCTCACCTGCCTATAGGGTCATTTTGAAGACTAATGCAATAAAGTTTGAAAAGCTATTGTCAAGCTGCCTGGGGCAAAATAATGATGACTAATATTGATGAAGCACTTACTGTGTGCTTGGCGTTTTCTCTCTAACCCTCATTACAACTCTGTGAAAAACTCATTACAACTCTGTCCTATTAATATTCACATTTTATGAATAGGAATCTGAAGCACAGGGAGGTTAGGTGAACTTGCCCAGGATCACATTGCTACTAAGGAGCGGAGCCAGGATTGAACCTGCCTTATGTGGCTCCCGAACACTCACTTTCAACCACTACATTTTAAGTGCTCAGTATATTTTAGCTGCTGATTATGGGGTCTTCATATTCAGCATTCCAAGGGACTTCTGGAGTTCGTTCTTTACCCCAAAGGTAAGGATCCTCTGGGAGTGCGGGAAAACTTTTGGGGGCTGCAATGGGAAGCTTTGGAAACTGATGAGGGNGATCCCTTAGTCTCTGCAAAGTGTACCGTGCCCAACAGACATGAATTACTCAGCCTCAGACACACAAGAACCAAGTACTTTATTGGGAAAAAGTGGAAGCTACACAAATATAACCAGGAAGCTCTAGAAGTTGGAGATAAAGGGTAAGGCATAGAGATGGGGTCAAAATGGAAGGTTATTATGCATGAAAAGAGGTGGAGATGGAGAAAGGGGAGGCAGATCCTGGGGTTCAGTTTTGGGAGGAGGTAAGGCCTTGGAATGCTGAGAGTAGAACAGTGGAAGCCGACCTGGTGCATCAGTCAGGTGTGTGGACAGAGCCTTGGAGCACGAGCCAAATCCTGGCAGTTGTTCCAGTGTGTCCTTATCCATTCAGGAAGAGGAGCCTGTTGAGAATGCAGGATAAGACCAGCTGAGCATCTCGGCCTCAGCTAATCTTTAGAACTTGAAGTTACGCTTATATAATCTTTTCACAGGAGGAAATTAAAAGGAAGTGGGTCTGCTCTGGGGAGCTGTCTCTTTCAAGGAAAAATAAATGGGAGTGGATTGCTAGCAGAGAGCTGTGATGAGGAAANAATTTTACTCTTCTCCTGACATGTCTATTTTTCTGTTTTATTTTTTCACTGTTTCTTCTTCTCCTCTTTATGTCACTTTACATCTCTTACCCTGTGCTTGTCACTTTCTCTTTTTCAGTGAGTCTCTCTCTGTCTACGTCTCTTTTTTTTTTGAATATGTAATCATCTGCTTTTATTATTTGCATACTAGTTCTCTTAATTTAGTCCTCTTTCTCCACTCCTTTTATTTCCCTTCTGCCCTTCTTTCTCTCTCTCCTCTTCGGCTCACCCCTTTTCTCTAGCCATTGTCAAACAGAAAAGATATTGAGATGAGTGGGGTTCGGCGGAGAAATCAGGTTGATTCCAGGTTGAACTGAATCTGTAGAGTGTCAGTCAAGGTACTTTGAAAGCAGGAAAGAATATTAGAGTGAACAGAGAGCTTCTATCATTAGGCGCAATTTAGAATAGGTCATGCAGGGGAGAAAGAATAAATGCCAGTTATGGTTGCAGATCCAGCTTCAGCAGCAGGGCCTTAGGAATGTTCCACTGAACTCACCAATTTAAGTGGTGATGCATCAGTGAGAGAATGGACTGAATGTGGGGCATGAGTGAACCAGAGCAATACAAACACAGACTATAGCAGGGGGGCTGTTATCCCACCCGACATACTCTTGGCTTACCTCTAACTTCACCTGCAGCTGCGAGAGACAGTTCCAGTGCACATTTTTTCTTAATCCGTTTTTTAAAAATTGAGGTAGAATTCATACCATATAAAATTAACCATTTTAAGGTGAACAATTCAGTGGCTTTTTTAGTACATTCACAATGTTGTGTAACCACTATTAGTTCTCAAACGTATTATGAATCCAAATGAAAACTCTGTACCCATTAACAATCAGTCCTTGCTTTCCCCCAAACCCTGCTTCCCAACTGGTGGCAACCACTAATCTGCTTTCTATGTCTACAGATTTACCGATTCTGGATATTTCCTATAAATGAAATCATACTGTCTGTGATCGTTCATGTCTGGCTTCTCTGCTTAGTGTGATGTTTCTGAGGTTCATCGACAGTGCAGCACGTATCAGGGCTTCATTCCTTTTTATGGCTGAATAATATCCAGTGTACATGGACAGCCTCCCACTGCAAGAGTCAGAGTCCCTGCTTCTCTGCTGTGGGTATTCTCTGCCTCCCTAGGAGCACACTCAGCTTGCATGCAGAACAGTCTAGAAGAGTGAGGGATTTAATACCCCAGGTATCCAGTGTGGGATGAGAATCCATGAATAAATAACTCAGGTTCCTCATCCCTGGAGACAGATGAAGAAAATTTGGAGGGACGCTTACACGGTTCTTTAGAAGATCCCTGATGGAGTCGAGCTGCAGTTTCCCACAGTGGTAACCAGCTCATAATGGCCTCTTCTCTCTTCCCTGAGTCACTTATCCTACTCCGACCTTGTGCTTCTTCAGAGACCTTCCAAACAAACTACCTGCACCCAAGGTCAGTTTCCGGGAGATCCAAACTAAGGCAAACTAACCCTTAAGAGGGTTCTACAATTTTTTTTGAAGAAACAGAGGAGGATAACCATATCCCTGAATCTCTTGACTCTCAAGGTTCTGATGTCACCACTCCCTTCAATGGTGTCAACAGAAGCCTCAGTGATCCCTTAGTCTCTGCAAAGTGTACCGTGCCCAACAGACATGAATTACTCAGCCTCAGACGCACAAGAACCAACTGGGCAAAAAACCACCTAATTCCATCCCACTCCTGCACTCTTACTTTGGTGAAAATGAGGCCCCAATATTACTTGACAAGATAAGGACATTATCAGACACCATATTAGGAGCACTAATGAATATTAATCTCATGTGTCCCAAGTCCAGCAATCTTACCCAGAGACCAGGTTTCAGAGATCCAGGGGAAACAGTCAGCCCAAGTGGGCAGAAGGTCAGGGTGTGGGTAGAGGGCTTGATTATTCCAAGGTCCAGAATATTACCTTTTTTAAGATCTAAACATTTTTTTCTGCAGCTGAGAATGCAACACTTCTTGCTGTCCTCACATTCTCTGTTGCTCGTACACATGTCTCTTTCTTTGAATTCACATTTCTCTCTGATCCTGGGGCATTTCCCTAGGGAAGAAGCAGTTATACAACCTTGAGCCTTGGAGGGCAAAGTGCCCACCCTCTGCACAACCCAGGACAATTCTGGGGAGTCAGAGAAGTTTGCTTTCATTTTGCTCACCCGCAGGAGTCCTTTCTCTCAGGGCGCCCTCAGGTTTTTCCCTACTGCCTACACTACTCTCCCTTCTGACCACCCTCACTCTACCTTTTTACCCCATCTCTAGTTCCACCCTCTAGCCCCATCCCTTCCAAGGCACATTTCTCAACCACTAGTGACATTTGGGCTGGATCATTCTTTGGGTGGGGTGTCCTGTGCATTGTAGGGTGATGGCCTGGAAGGGTTGGTCAGGTAATGCGTCCAGGGCTAGGTTGGACCCTTTTGCAGTTGGCCTCTTAGATTTCACCACTTCTGCACCCTCCCTCCACCCCTTCTAACTCCTCTCATACTTGCTAACTTTGAGTCCTCTCCATGTCCCTTCCCATTTGATGGCCTGGAAGGGTTGGTCAGGTAATGCGTCCAGGGCTAGGTTGGACCCTTTTGCAGTTGGCCTCTTAGATTTCACCACTTCTGCACCCTCCTTCCACCCCTTCTAACTCCTCTCATACTTGCTAACTTTGAGTCCTCTCCATGTCCCTTCCCATCTTCAGTTCCGAGAAAGCCACTACCCTTCTGTGAGGTGCATTCTTACCTGATGATTCGAGCTGGCTCTGTCAGCATCAGGGTTGCCAAGGGTGTAGCTACCCTGTAATGGACCAGCAAACACCCAGGCCTCCCAGCATGGCCCTGGTGAGGATGAGAAACTAGGGCCCAAGGACTCACGTGTTTTTTTGCAGGTATTCTGGCAGATGCTTTTGGTTTGGAAGTTGTTATTGTTTCCCTGGCAGCCACCATAGATAAAGCTGGAGCAGGTATTATTTTCCTTACTATACCACCAACGAAGAAAATAAGCCATGCAGGGGCCAGATTCTTTTGGCATCTTGCATATGTCTGCAGAGAGACCCCAGAGTTGAGAACCCCACCCCAGAAAAAAACATAAACAAAACCAGATTTTATTGTTCCCCATGGCAACTACCATAGATAAAATTGGAACAGGCTCCTTTCCCCTTATTACACTGCAGGAGCCTAGCTCGATGACATATTGCACACATTTGCAAAGAGACCCTAGAGTGGGTATCTGCATGCCTGGGAATAGGTTTGTTTGCAAATGTAATTAGTTAAGATGAGGTCATACTGGAGTAGGCTGGGCCCCTAATTCAATATGACTGGTGTATTTATAAAAAAGGGTAAATGTGAACAGACACACACCCATACACACAGGGAGACACCACATGAACATGAAAGCAGAGATCAGGGTGATGTGACTACAAGCCAAGGAATTCCAAAGATTTCCCGCAAGCACCAGAAGCTAACAGAGAAGCATGGAACAGATTTCTCTCTCCCAGTTCCTGAGAAGAAACCAACTCTGCTGACACCTTAATCTTTGACTTCTACCTGGCAGAACTGTAAGACAATACATTTCTGTTGTTTAGGCACCAGTCTATTATTGATACCCTTGCAAACTAATACAGGTCCCAACTAAACCATGAGTTCCATGAAGGTAAATCTCCACAGCTAAACAATTAAGTCCTGCTAAGTTTTACTTCCTAACAGCTCTGCCAGTCCCTTTCATTTAAGCCTCCCCATATCACACTTGGGCTGTTGAGATAACCTCGAACTGGTCCTCCCACATTCTAGCCCCTACAATCAATCTTTCATGCTGTTCACTGGATGGAATGATCTGATGGATCAGAAAGTGAAGCCGATTGTGTTATTCTACAGATAAGACCTACCCTGATTTAATAAGAAAATTCTCCCATGACTCATAAGGCCCTTCACCATCTGACTCCTACTTGTGGCTCTGGCTTCCTCTCCTGCCACAGGCCACAAGCTCTGGCAATACTCAACACACCATGCTGTGCCACAACTCGATACCATTGCATTGCCATATGTCAACTGTTGCTCATTAGTGACACTCCTATTCTTCCATCAAAACCTTTCTCAGACATCACCTCCTCTGTTATATCTCTCTTGACTCCACTATACACCCCATGCCCCAACTGCTTCAGGTGCCTGAATCAATCCTGCACTTCTCTACCTTGCTTCTGCATATCTTGTATCTTGTGCATGTACTTGTCATTTGATTATATCTTTGGTCTCATCCCTGAGGCTGCGTGTTTCTAGTGAGCAGGAATTGTGTCTTATTTAATATCGGAATTCCATTTCCTAGCAGGTGGTCTGGCACAATATATGACTTTACAGAATGCTGAGGGTGAAATAAGATGAATCCTGAGCTGAACTGAATAAATCATTCACTGAACACCTACTATATGCTAAACAATTTAAAGGACAAAGAAGAAGCATGGTTTCTGCTATTCAGCAGCTCCCAAGAATGACAAATAATTTAAGCTCATAGGTATTAGGTGGCTATTATGTGCCAGGCATTGCTTTAAGTGCTTCATGTGCATCAATTTATTTGATGCTCAAAATAACCTCTGACACTGGTCCTTTTACTAACAGAGGAAAGTGAGGCACAGTGTGGTGAAGATGTTACTATGCGCAAGAGAAAAAGACTGGGGCTAAGATTTGAACTCAGGAAGTTTGGATTCAGAATCCCTCACCTGCAGGCATATGAATAACTTATCGCCCCGTTTCCTCCCTGGTCTGCTCCATTGTCAAGTCCTATTTGCCTCGTAAATACTATTCAAACACATCCCACTCTTCTCATTCCCTTAGCTACCTCCCTCGTCCAAGTTACCGTTTTCTTTCATGTGTAAGTTACATAGTTCCTCCTGTTTCCTGCTCTGTGGCCCTAGTATGATCGTGCTCATATCACTGCCCCACCTCGATGAATTTCCATGGCTCTTAGGATCCAGGTGAGACTCTTTAATCTGGGCAACCAGACCTGAATAGTGTGATCCCTGCCAACCTAGGATCCATTTACCTTTAGCATGCACATGCTCAGTCTTCTCTCTGGCCTCCCTAGGCCCCACAGTTGAGCCTTTGTACATGCTATTCCCTGTGCGTGGAAAGCTCTTCCAGACACTTTTTGCCTAAAATATTATCCATCCTTCTGAACTCAACTCCAGGTTTGCTTTCTTTCTCTTTTTTTTTGACTGGTAAGGGGTTCGCAACCCTCGGCTCAGTGTCGTCTGCACCATGCTCAGCCAGTGAGCGCACCAGCCATCCCTATATAGGAACTGAACCCACAGCCTTGGCGCTGTCAGTGCCACACTCTCCCGAGTGAGCCACAGGGCCGGCCCCAGGTTTGCTTTCTCAGAGAAGTCTTTCCCAACCTCACTGACCACACTGAGCAGGTCAAATCCTATTAGGGGTCTCAATGGCACTCAAGAAACATTTGTTAAATAAATGAATAAAGAATTGTTGATAGTCTTTTTGGAGCCCAGGGAGATGGACAGGACGTTATGATTGCAGCAGCAAAGGAAAAGCCCTATAGTATGGAGTGGTCAGGGGAGGTTTCATGGTGCAAAGTTGGATCTGTATGGGCAGAGAGGTGGTCACTTCAGAGCCAAAAGCTAGGAAATATAAATTGCTTAATTTATGACATACGGCAACAGTGTTGGTGTATGTTAGAACCACCATGGCCACCAGGGGACTCAGAAAATTATAAGAGTGAAAAGTAGCCAAGCAGCCAAAAACCATCTAATTCCATCCCATTCTTGCTCCCATACTTTAGTGAAACTGAACCCTGATATTACTTGACAAGATAAGGACATTATTAATGTCAGACACCATATTAGGAGCACTAATGAATCTAAATCTCATGTCTCCCAAGTCCAGCAATCTTACCCAGAGACCAGGTTTCAGTGAACCAGAGGAAACAGTCAGCCCAAGTGGGCAGAAGGTCAGGGCGTGGGTAGAGGGCTTGATTATTCCAAGGTCCAGAATATTACCTTTTTTAAGATCTAAACATTTTTTTCCACAGCTGAGAACACAACACTTCTTGCTGTCCTCACATTCTCTGTTGCTCGTACACATGTCTCTTTCTTTGAATTCACATTTCTCTCTGATCCTGGGGCATTTCCCTAGGGAAGAAGCAGTTATACAACCTTGAGCCTTGGAGGGCAAAGTGCCCACCCTCTGCACAACCCAGGACAATTCTGGGGAGTCAGAGAAGTTTGCTTTCATTTTGCTCACCCGCAGGAGTCCTTTCTCTCAGGGCGCCCTCAGGTTTTTCCCTACTGCCTACACTACTCTCCCTTCTGACCACCCTCACTCTACCTTTTTACCCCATCTCTAGTTCCACCCTCTAGCCCCATCCCTTCCAAGGCACATTTCTCAACCACTAGTGACATTTGGGCTGGATCATTCTTTGGGTGGGGTGTCCTGTGCATTGTGGGATGTTGGCCTCCATGTATTAGATAACAGTAGCCAACCCCAAGTTATAATAACCCAATATGTCTCCAGACATTGGAAATGTTCCCTGGAAGGCAAAATTGCCCCATTGGTAGCCACTGGTTTAAGCTGATATTGTCCTTTTGGCCTTGTTGAGGAGTCAGGGTTTGGGAGTTGCTCTGGGGTGGGGGTGGGGGGATAATATTATATAGTAATTAAGATCTCTCACCCTGTAGATGGTTTGGTTTTTGAATTCTATCAGTTGGTCTGCTATTTACCCTCTCTGAACCTTGGTTTCTTCATCTGTAAAATCATTTTGTCCTTACAGAGGTGTGAGGAAAAAAGGAGGCAAAGCGTATAGAGCTTTCTAATTATAGTAATTGATGCACAGTAATATTAACTAACATTTGTTACTTATTTACCATAAGTCACACACTCTTCTAAGCATTTAAAATGTATACTCTCATTTTATCACCACAACAGCTCTAGGAGGTAAATTCTATTAATATCTTCATTTTACAGATGAGGAAACTGACACATATGGAATTTAAGTAATTTTCCCAGGGTTATATATCTAATAGGATTTGAGTCCACTAAATCTGACTCCAGATCCCTCTTAAATTTTTTGTAAATCCCTACTTTCCAAGTGTTCAACAAATGGTAACAATTATCACTATTACTATATAGACATGGAGTATTAGTGTCTTAAGTTTAAAGGGACTTCTTTATCCCAAAGTCAAGGAACCCCTGCAGATGCAGGGACACTTTATGGGACCGCATGTGAAAGAACAAGGCAAAGATGGACAATGTCCTGAGAAAAGATCCTGTCTTTCTTATGGGGTGAGGGGAAGGTCCTTTAGGCTTCCCAGATTCCTACATCTCCTTCCATAAATACTAGATCCTGTGACTCTCTCCCATCTCCCTAAGAAAGATGCTCTACCTCAAAGGGGATAAAGAGGGGATTTCCTAAGTGTGGGTTCCTTTATTACCAGAAGGGATCTTCCACAGAAGGGGTTTTCCAAATATCTCTCTACTCTCCCAACCCAGAACTAGGGCTAGGATGGTGGAAAGCAACTCAGATCTGAGTAATTGTTCCTTGTTCCTTCCTACCAGAAAATTTCCCTCTTTCCAGGGCAAGGGCTGAGGCCCAATACTTACTGTAAATACTTACAGTTATTTAGACTAGTTCCCTGGACGTTCGCAAAGAGGATAAATAGCACCAGGATGCACAAAAATCCAGAAGATTCCATTCTGAAGAGAGGCGAGCCTGTCTGGTGGTTTCAGAACATAGAAATGTCTTCATGCCTTGGCCCAGCCTATCCCTTCAGTATCCAGTACCCTGCATATGAGAACTGGAGACAAGCCAGCCACCCCCTTTCTTGCTGGGAACACCAGGTTCCTGAGGTTGTAAATGGGATTAATTGGCATCTACAGCTCACAGCTCTGGGGAAAAGGTCTTTTTTGAGTGACTCCTTATCCTGAACCCCCTGGGCTGCACTGAGCAGGACGCTCTGGGCAACTGCATGGAGTAGGCAAATCTTGTCTCACACTTTCCTGGCTACCTTACAAATAAACACCACCATCTCGGGTCTTCATTCTGATAATTTGGAGAGCTGTGGAATGTCCTCAGCCTCCATCCATTTTTCCATTTTACATGCAAACTAATTAACATTCTTCTGTTTTTCTCTAACAATGTATCTTATTGATCTCTTGGTGTTTCTTTGCTTCTCTGTGCCTCTCTGAACCTATGAAGAACTCCGTTCTCTTCTTCTGTGAGTCTCCCATTGTCTCTGTGTCCCTTTTCCCCTCTCCCACAGTTTCCTCCCATCTTTCTCCATTTTATCTTCTCTTGGATCACTCATATGCTTTGACTAAGGCCAAAGAGTAATAATGTTGCCACAGAGTGTGTTATGGCAGAGGAACCAGACAGAGAACAGAGTCTTCACATAGTGTTTGTCAAAGCTGTGCTGCTTTGAGAGCAGGAGAGAATGTGAGAGCTTGTCAGGAGCTTCTACCATTTAATGCAAACTCCCTGTTGTCTGAGGAGGAAGTAGAAAATGAAGAGACCTGCCTGGGAGACTATGACTGAATAAAGTTCAACAACACAGCAGAGCTGCTCGATTCTAACAGGGTTTGTGGAGGAGCTATGGGAAGAGGGTGTTGGAAAACTTGGGCAATTTTATCATAGCCGAGGAAGCCACAACACCAGCTAGTCAATCAGTCCTGGCACAGGGAGAGATGCTCTTCAAAGAGAAAATGTTACCTGAAGGGCTCTCATTTCCTTCCCTAACTGTTTCCTTTTTGGGCCAAGATTTGTTCATCAAATTGTCCTGCATGACAGACAGAAGCCAGACAAAGCCAGCCTTGTCATCAGTGAGTGACCATATGGTCACAAAATTTAGGATCACATACAGAGCCCCCATGGGAATTCCCATCCCACCAACTTCACAACTCATTTAAGGAAGATCCCCAAAAGAGGCTAAGGAATAGAATTTCTAATGAACAACCAAGATGTCCTGTGCAGTGCCGTCCCTCTTATTCCACTTCGTGTATTCACCCCAACCCAGATCAGGAGAAAGTGAAAACCTGGAATCTCTATGTGAAAGGGCTGTGAGAGGCCATTAAGCCCCATTTCCTCATTTTATAGATAAGGATCACACAGCCCAGAGAAGTGAGGATGCTGACTAAATGTCCCCCAGCAAGTGAGTTAGGTTAAGAGGGAGCTGAGCACTTGTTTTTGCCAGAGGTCACTAGAGAATCTTTTTTTTTTTTTTTTTTTTTTTTTTTTTTTTTTTTTTTTTTTTTTTTTTTTTTTAAAA